TATATTGTAATTTACTTGTTTTTATTAAATATATTATATATATTGAAAATTAAATATTCAAGAAAATAACTTTAGTTAAAAAACTAAAATAAAAAAAATGTAAATATTTATTTTCGTTTTCAAAACAAATCTCCAATAACTAATTATATTATAATTCACATTTATACTAAAGAGTGAAAAAACATTAGTTTTATTATTTTACAAACAAATAAATAAAATTAAAAATAATAATTAATTAAGAATATTTTTTAATGTAAAGTTGATCAATTTTTTATAAAAAAATAAAATACTATATATTATATATATAAAAAAAAGGCTATTCATTATTTATTTTTATCGAATTTTTTTTGATTTGTTTAAATGCATTTTTTAAAAAAATAATACATGAAAAATATAAAAATTAATTAAGAAAATTATATGTTTATTTGAAATAAAAGTTTTTTTTATTTTTTATTATTAATTAAATACAATAAATTTTAAAATAAAAAAAAATATTGAATTTACTCAATATTTTTATTTTGTTAAATATCAAAAGTTTATTTAAAAAATATAAAAATAACAAAAATAATATATATATATAATATTTTTTATATTTCCTATTATATTTTATTAATATAAAAAAAAAATACTTAAATATATAATTTTTCAATATTTCTTATTTGATTTTTTGGATTAGGTTTAAAATTTCATCGATTTCTTTTATTATTATTTCTTTTTATTAATTAATTTTTAAGCTAAGAAAATGCCTTCATCATTATTTTGATTTTCTTCTTTTTACTCATTCAATTAAGTTTACGAGAAACTAATATTATTTAACTCAATATTGTTATTTTCTTATCTATTATCAGTATTTTTAATATTATTTTGATTAACTTCATTATTCTATGTTTCCTCTTATTAAATTTAATTATTTTATATTAATTTAACTTAATTAATGTTTCTTTTTTCAAAATCAATAGTAATACTTTTAAAATATTTATCTTATTTTTAAGTAGTATTAGTATTAGCATTAGTATTAGTATTATCTTTTGAATATGCATCCCAACCTTAAACAACCTAAATTTCCTTATAAGCTCCAAGGCCTCCACTTAGTTTCAATCCTGAAATTTTACCTGGGAAATTTCTATAACCAAAGCTCTATCCAACAAAAAGTCTATAAATATTACAATCTTTATGTTTGACATCCTAGAAATTCAAAATAATCGGTTTTTATTAATAGAACTATGTAAAAACATATGCCTTTTATAAATCGGGAGAATATCCATGATAAATATAAACCCAAAAATCTTCCATATCATTATTAAAAAGTACATTTTTATACAAATTTTTATTCCCAGTATTTAAATCATAAGTGGGGAAATGGAAATTATTCTAAATAATAAACATACATAGAGTTCTATCTCCGAAATCTGCTAAATCTTAAGCTTTTTCATTTCCATTAAAATGATAACCAGTAGCCCACTAACTCCTATTTACGCCTTTATTTAATTTAAACCAACCTTCAATTGCAAATTCTTGTATACCAGTAAATTATTAATCATAGACTTTAACTATTTAATTATCTTTTCCAAAATCTATTTCTCCTTAAATTACTACATCTTATATTAAATCCGTATTAAATTTAGTTATTTTAATACTCTTTTTACCATTGCCTATTGCAGGATTATTATCTTCAAATCCATATTCTCTATAAGCCCCTTTTCCAGCAGCTAACCTTAATTAGACAATTCTTCCCGGGAAATATAAATATTGGAAAGATTAGCCAACAAAAATTGTATAAATAATAGATGAACGATGTTTTACATTTAAAAATTCTAAAATTCTTTCCTTTTATCCTTAAAATTGTAAATAAACATATCCTTTTTATCTCAAAGGACAATATCCAAAATATATAAAAGCCCATTTCTCCTATTCTTCTGTAGTAAAGCTAATATTCTAATGTAAATTAGTATTCTAAGTCCTTGTATCATAAGTAGCGAAATGGTAATTGTTTTTAATAATAAACATAGATAGAGTCCTATCTCCGTAATCGGCAAAATCCTAAGTAACTTTATTCGAATTCAAATGATAACCAGTAGACCAACTTTCCCTTTTATTTTCGATATTCAACTTAAACCAACCAAAAACTGCGAATTCTTAAACTTCTTTAAAATTAGAATATTTTTTCACTATTGAATCTTATTTAAAATCTTCCACTACAACTTCTTCGAAATAAGAAAATTCGACTTCTTTAGGTAAATAATCCCAATTAACCTTTTCGATTTCTCTATAAGCACCTGTTCCTCCTGATAATTTAAGTTATGCAATTCTTCCCGGGAAATTTCTATATTGGAAACTTTATCCAACGAAAAGGTTATAAAAGAAAGAAGATTGGTGATAAACATTAAATAATTCCAAAACTTAAGGCTATTTTCCTTATAATTAGGTAAAAACATAAGCTTTTTTTAAATCAGGGGAATATCCATGATATATAAAAGCCCAAACACCCTCATCTTCTTGTTAAAATTCGACATTTTTATATAAATTCTTATTCTAAGTCTTCAAATCATAAGTCGGGAAATGATAAGTATTCTAAAGTACAAACATACATAAAGTCCTATCTCCATATTCTGCTAAATCTTAAGGATTTTCATTCGAATTAAAGTGATAAGCAGTAGCCCATGAGTCTCTTTTAACCCCTGGTTTTAATTTAAACCAACCTTCAATACCGAATTCTTATATTCCATTGAATTTATGCTTGAATATTTACACTACTTAGTTTTAATTTTCATCTTCGAAATCTTAATCTATAATAATAGTCACTTAAGTTAATTAGTAAACAATAACTTTAGGCATATTATCCCAATTTGTAGTTTTTATTTCCTTATAAGCACCATCTCCACCAGCTAGTTTTAATTAGGATATTCTTCCCGGATAATTTCTATAATTGAAAGATTTACCAACAAAAAGATTATAGAAATAAGAATCTTCATGCAAAACATTTAATAACTCCAAAACCTAATACTTTTTATTCTAGAACTAAACAAAAACATATGCCTTCTTCAATAAAGGTGAATATCCATGATATATAAAAGCCCAAACACCTTCATCTTGTTGTTAAAATTCGACATTTTTATATAAATTCTTATTCTAAGTCTTCAAATCATAAGTCGGGAAATGGTAAGTATTCTGAAGTACAAACATACATAAAGTTCTATCTCCGTATTCTGCTAAATCTTAAGGATTTTCATTCGAATTAAAGTGATAAGCAGTAGCCCATGAGTCTCTTTTGACTCCTGGTTTTAATTTAAACCAACCTTCAATACCGAATTCTTGTACTCCGTTGAATTAATTTACGTATTTCTTGACTACAATAGGATCTTTTTCAAAATTATCCTCGAAATCTTAATCTTCTATAATTATTATTTCCACAATTTTAACGACTTTTATACTAGGCAATAAATCCCAGTCTATTTTTTCAATTTCTCTATAAGCACCGTCTCCCGCAGATAATTTCAATTAGGAAATTCTTCCAGGGAAATACCTATATGTGAATGATTTTCCTACAAAAAGATGATATTATAAAGAGTCTTTATGCAAAATATGATAGAATTCTAATATAGCAGCCTTCTTGTTTTAGAATTAGGTAAAAACATAAGCTTTTTTTAACTCAGGGGAATATCCATGATATATAAAAGCCCAAACACCCTCATCATCTTACTAAAATTCGACATTTTTATAAAGGTTTTTATTCTTTGTCTTCAAATCATAAGTTGGGAAATGGTAAGTATTCTGAATTACCTACATACATAAAGTCCTATCTCCAAATTCTGCTAAATCTTAAGGATTTTGATTTGAATTTAAATGATATCCAGTAGCCCATTAATCTCTTTTGACACCCATTCTTAATCTAAACCAACCTTCGATACCGAATTCTTATATTCCATTGAATTAATTAGTGAATTTTTTTACTATTCCTGCTTAATTATCTTTATTAGTGAAATCTATATCTTCAATAATCTCATATTATTGGTATGTATAGATTGTTTTATGCTTAATAATAATCCAATCTACACTATTTATTTCTTTATAAGCTCCTTTACCTCCAGAAAGTTTCAAAAGAGCGATTTTTCCTGGGAATTTCCCATAAGAAAATGATTTGCCGACAAAAAAGGTCACAAAATAAGCATCCTTATGTTGAATTTTGAAAAATTCTAATACATTAGACTTTTGACCTTAAAACTAAGTAAAAACATAAGCTTTTTATAACACAGGAGAATATCCTTGGTATATATAGCACCAAGTTCCTTCTTCTTTATATGAAAAATCGATCTTTTTTTAAAGATTCTTATTATCAGAGGCTATATCATAAGTCTGGAAATGTAAGCTATTCTCTTTTACAAAAAAAGATAAGGTCCTATCACCATGTTCTGCTAAATCTTAAACATTTTCATTTGTATTTAAGTGATAACCAGTTGCCCAATCATTTCTATTGGATCCTGGACTGATTTTAAACCAACCCTCGATTCCAAATTCCTATATACCGGAAAACTCCTGCTCGAAAAATTTCACGATTGGTTCTTTGGGTTTTTCTTCATCTTCATCTTCGAAATCTTCTTCGTCTTCAATAATATTGTAAATATGTATAGTATAGACAGTCTCGAAATAGTTCCAGGCTAACTCAAATCCTTTCTCTTTATAACAACCGACTCCAGCACATAGACTCAAGCTTCGAATTTAACCAGGCCATTTTTTATAGGTGAAACTTTGTCCTACAAAAAGAGTATAAATATGTGAATATTAATGCTTAAGACCTATTCTTTGGAGTATATTTTCCTTTTATTTATTAAATTGGACATAGACGAACATTTTTTATAAAGTAGGTGAGTATGCTTAATAAATAAATATCCATATATCTTCATTTTCTTATTAAAAAGTAAGGTTTTCGTTTACATTTTTATCTCCTGAATTAATATCATAAGAGCAGAATTGTAAATTGTAGTCTTTTATGAAAAAAGCGAGTGTCCTATCACCAAATTCAGCCTAATCTTAAATTATTTTGTTTGAATTTAAATGATAGCCAGTCGACCAGTTTTTTCTGGAAATTTTTTTATTAATTTAAAACCAACCAAAAATTGCAAATTCTAATGTTTTCTCGAATTTGTTTTCGAATATTTAAACTACTCCTTCATTTTCTTCTACTTCGAAGTCTATTTCATATATAATAATAACTTCGAAAACATAAATTCTCTCTACTATGACTAATTGTTTCCAAATTTAATCAAAGCCACATTCTCTGAAATTTCCTGCCCCAGAAAAGAAAGTCTAACCAATTATTTTACCCGGAAAGTTCTTATAAGAAAAGCTTTAAGCCCCCTAAAACACATAATAACTAGAAGGTTAGTGTTTAACATTATCAAAATAAACATCATGTCCCTAATTTCCTTAAAATTATACAAAAGAATATACTTTTTATTAAATTCGGGAATATGAATTATGTATTAAAGCCCATTTGCCTTCTTCATAATCCTCGAAAGTAATAGATTTACATAAGTTCTTATTTTAAGTATCTAGGTCATATGTGCAAAAATTGAGCTAGTTTTCCTTTATAAACAAAGATAGTGTTCTATCTCCATATTATTCAGCATCTTTCAATACTCGGTTCTGACTTAATTAATATACCGTAGCCCATTCAGTCCTTTTTATACCAGAATATATTTTATAAAAACCTTAAATAGCAAATTCGACATTTTCATCGAATTTATTTTCAAATACTTTTACTATTTAGTTAGCTTTGGATAAATAGTCAAATTCTTTATTTTCAATTATTACGTCCATGAAAAATTAAAGGCGGTAATCTTGATAACTGAAGTCTTATTTTATTAATGTCATTTAGCGGTATAAATACTCGCTTTCATTTAAAGTTTGGAATGAAACTGTTATTAAAATTAATAAAGTGAATATTTTTATATTCATTTTTTATTTTTTTAAAAATATATAATATTTATTTATTTTTTATAATTTTTTAATATTTTTTTTATAGATTTTTTTTTTAATATTAGTATCGTTTTTTGATTATTTCAAAAATTATCCTTTATATTTTTTAAAAATAAATATAAAAATTAAATAAAAAATCATATTTTTATATAAAAACCCCTTATTTTATTATATAAAACTCGTTAAATATTAATATTAATATTAAATATTTTTTTTATTGTAATTACTAACTAAAAAATCTGGTTTCGTTTTATAAATATATATTTTAAAAACGAAATTCATTTTTGACGTTTTTAAAATAGACTTCAAAAAATAAATTTGATAAATTAAAATACAATAAAAAAATAAATATTTGTTTTAGATTTGTTAAATAGAAACTATTAAATTGATACTAAATAATAAATATTATAATCGATAAATAAAAACATTTTATTGAATAAACAATCTTAACTTTTTAAAAATAAATTAAATGAAAACAATTGAAAAAAATAAAGATAATACAATTAAAAAAAAATTGTTTTATCAATTTTATTTAACACTATAAATTTATTTTTATTTTTTAAAAAATTTAAAGAAAATATAAAATAATAAATGAAATTAATAATAGTAAAGCATTAAATTTGAATATTTATATAATAAAAATTTAACATAAATATCAAATTAATAATAAAATAAAAATCAAATATATTTTTTTATTTATTTGAAACTTTTTTCAGATATTAATATAATAATGTAAAATAAAATAGTATAATGAAAAAATTAATTAACATATTTATATATGACTTGCACAAAAAAAAACAATAAAAAATGGATAAGTGCCTTTATTATTGTTAATTTATTAAAAAATAATAAAACAAATAAACAATTTGAAATAAAATAAATATAATCAATTAGTTATATTCATATAAAATTAATAATATAGTCTAATTATGAAAATTTTAAAAATCAAATAATATATAAAAGAAAATATTTAAAATATTTATAAAAAATAAAATATATTTTTTGTTCTTATATTTTCAAATAGGATAAAATTGTATTTAATAATTTAACTTTTAAAATTTAAATTAAAATTAAATAAAAAAAATAATTATCAATAATAATAAAATTAAAAAAAATTTTTCAAGTTTATATAAAAAATTTAATAAAACTTGATATATTATTAAATTATAAATTAGATAGAATGTAAATAAAAAATTAATTTTAAAAAAAAATTATATTTTATAGCTTATATTCTTAAAAAAATAATATATTAATATATTGAATATTGAATATCTAATTATTTTTTAAAAAAATTATATAAAATATTATATAAAAAAAATAAAGAAAAAAAAAATATATATATAAATTTATAAATATATATATATATAAATATATATATATATATATATATATAAAAAAAAAAAAATTAATATTTTTTTTATAAAATAATGAATTATTTTACTCTTTTAACCGGTTAAGAAGACAAAGATAGTTGGTGTCCATCTTTATCTCTTAATTAAAGAATTATTGGTTTTTTTGTTTGCACATTATTAGGTTGGTGGACTTAAATGATGAGTTTTGCATCTATTTTTGGTGTAGTTACAGGAAGTCCAACAAAATTCGCAATTGTTTTTACATTAGGAAATATAATAACAATACTATCGTATAAAATTATATATAATTTTATTTTACTTATTAAATAGAACATCATTTTTAATAGGATTTGTTAATTAATTTAAAAATATGATGACTGACCATAGAAGGGAAGCTTCTATTATTTTTTTAAGTTCAATTGCATTTACACTAGTAGCTGCATTAATGCTACACAGTAAACTTTTAGTTTTTGTCTGTGTTTTAATTGAGTTTTGTGCATATGTTTGGTATTGTGCGAGTTATATTCCATATGGAAGAAATTGCATAAAAAATTGTTTAGGTAGTATTGGTAGAAATTGATAAATTAAAAAAAATATATTTATTTTAAAATAATTATTAAATTGTAAATATAAATAAATTATAATAGTTAATAAAAGCTTTATTTAAAAAAAATAATATTTAATATTATTAAATTATTTTAATTAATAAATAAATTTTGAATTAATTTTTTTATTTTATTTTTATCAAATAAAGATACAGAATAATAATTATACAAAAAAAATAAAAAATAAAATAAGTAATCTATTTACTTTTAGAATTAAAAAATTAAAAAGTTTTTTCATAATATTTATTTTATTTTTAGTTTATGTAATTTATAATAAAATTATAGATAATTTCAATTAATTTTATTATTCTTTTTAATTAATTCTTTTATATTGTTAAAAAATAAAAATATATTTTAATTTTTAGTATTATTCATATAATATAATCTATAACATATATATCATTATATTTATTAGTACTTTCTGTTTATATATATTTGTTATTATATGATTTTTTCATGTATTTTAATATCAAGAATATAAGTAAATATTATTTATTTTAATAATTATATAATGCATTATATATTGAACATATTGTTTTTTCTAAATAAAATATATTTAAAATTATTAGATATTTTTATTTTATATATGTACAAATAAAGAAAAAATTATAATTTATGATTTTCAATAATATATATATATAATAATTATAAATTAATTTATTATATATAAAAGCAAATATATAATTTATATATTGTAATTAGCTTATCCTTTATGTTTTCATTTTTTTTCAATATTATTCATATTTTTTTAATTTATAAGTTTCTAGAAAGCGTATTAGAGTATTAATGGAAAAGACTCAAATAGAAATAAATGTAAAAGAATTAGAGTAAAAGCTTAAATCATTAAAATATGTATCTGCAACTCATGAATTGTATATTTGATGTTTATCTAAATGAAAACCTTCGCTAAGTAGTATATTTTAATTAATTAAAAAAGCTTTAAAAAGTAATTAAAAAGGTTAATAAATTATTAAATTAATTATTCCGACAATTTACAGTATAAGAGTTTGATAAAAAAATAAAAATAAAAATAAAATATAAAATGTAAACATAATATTTATAATTAAAAGTATCATTTATTTTCAAACAAAAAGAAAAATTATATTATATATTATTTTTGTTTAATAAAAATAAAAAGATATTAATTTATTTTAATAATTAGATTTTATATTTTTATTAATATAATAAACTGATTTTATATTTAAATATAAAGTATAAAAATAGAAGTTTTTATAATTTAATTCAAATAAGTATATTGAATAAATACATTTTAAATAAAACTTTGGTTTATATATTTTATATTATGATATTAATTTTTTTTAAAAAAATAAAATAATATAAATACAGATTATTTTATTAAAAAAAATAAAAAATCCTTTTATTCTATTAATAATTTCTTAAATAAAAATAAAAAAAGATTTACTAATTCAATTTAATATATATATAGCAAATTTAGTAAAAATAATACTATGAATATCAATAAATAATTAAATATTAAAATAAATAAAATTAAGCAAAATCATTTTAGATTAAATACAAGTTCACTATATAATTTTCTTTAACTAATTATTAATCCAATTCAGATTATCCTATAAAAAATACATAAAATAATTGTTAAAATACTATATAGAAGAAAAAAATATTTTCGTTTTTCGTTAAAATAAGATAACAGACAGTTTCATTCATTTAAGAAGGTATGTATTATTATTTAAAGAAGATTATATAATTTTTAGATTGAATTTATATCTGAATTTATTATATAATTTGATTATAAAAGTTCGAAAAAAATCAACGATTCTATTTATTTTAGATTGTGAAAATCTTAAACAAAAACAATTTATGAAATAAATAAAGATTTTTTATACAAAAATATGTTTTTGATGATAAAGATTATTAAAAATTCTTATATATATATAATTTATACAGTAATGTTTTATATTTAATAATGCTTTTTTTTAATTTTGATTTTTTTAAAAAGACTGAATAAATATATATTTTTTTTTTTTATTTTTGTATACATTACATTTATAAAAGAAAAAATTAGTAAAATATAGGAATGTATAGATAATAACCACATCTAAAGTTTTTCTTAAAATGAATCAATAGATTTTCTTAAATGTTAATAATTTAAAACAAAAATACTAACAGTTTATAACGTAGAATTTCAGTAAACTATAAAGAAGCTGTCATATACTTAAAATATTATTATTAATATTATAATAAATATTTTTATATTTACTTTTTTATATACAAATTTTTAATATTTTGTATCATAATTATCATATGCAAAAGTTAAGATCTTTTATATTTTATTCTATTAATATTTAATAATTATATATTAAGTTTTTTAAAATATTTATCATAGATTTTATATATAAAATATTTATAATTAAATTATTTATACAAAATTATTTTGATAGAATATTTTAAATATATAAAATTATTTAATATAAATATAAAAATAATATATAAAAAAATAATATTAAATATAATATATAATATATATGTATATATATTATAAATTGTATTAATTTAAATATATATTATATTTATAATTATATTTATTTATTTTTTAATTATAAAACTTCAATTTAATTTTACATTTTTATTAATTTATGATAATATTTTATTCAAATATTGAATGAAACATATGATTTAATTTTAATTTTTTATTTATAAAAGTTATATTTATAAATTAAATACTTTTTTTTTTAATTTTTACATTTTTTCTTAATAAATATGAAAAATATTTATGAATTTTTTTTTTTTCTTTAAACATCCAATATAAAAAATTTTAATTTATATTAAAAATAAAATAAAATGTATTAAAATATTGAAAATTATTAATAAGTAAAAAATTAAATTTTAAAAGTTAAATTTTTATTACTGGGAGAATCTAAAGTCGGAAAATCATCAATTCTTCTTCGTTTTACGGAAGATAAATTTTATTTAAACTAAGTAACAACATTAGGAGTAGATTATAAATAAAAACAAATAGAAATAAATAATACAAATGTAGTAATATAAGTATGGGATACTGCCGGATAGGAACGTTTTAAAACGATAACGCCAATATATTATAAAAGTGTTGATGGAGTTATATTAGTATATGATATATGTGATAAAGAATCTTTCGATAATATTAATTATTGGATTGATAATTTATCGGAAAATACAGATTTATCAAAAATTAATATGATTTTAGTTGGAAATAAAATAGATTTATGTGATAAAAGATAAGTTTAATATGAAGAAGCGTAATAATAAGCGAAAAAATTTAATATTAAAAACTTTGAAGTTTCAGCAAAAACTAATTATTTGATTAATAATGTATTTGAATAATTAGCTATTTAAGTAATTCAATAAAAAGGAGGTTTCGAAAAATATTAATAAGTGTAAAATTAAAATAATAAACACAAAAATAATAAAAAATAATGCTGTTGATATTTCTCTATTTATCTTAATTTTAAAAATGGAAATTTTTTCTCTAACAATTTTTATTCTATTCTTTTTATTAATAAAAAAACAAAAATTTAATTTATAATTCTATTTTATATTTATTATATTTTTTAAAAAAATAAATAAATAAATTATTAATAAAATAAATATTAATAATAAAAATAATGTAATTAAAAATAAAAATTATATATATATATATATATATATATATATATATATATATATATATATATTAATAATTATTTTTAAAAAATAGAATTAATATAATAATATTTAAAAATTAAAGAATTTTTTTTTTTATTAATAAATTATTAGTTTGTTTATATACATATATATATATATATATGTTATAAATAATATTTTAGTCTGAATATTTAAAAAAAGGATATTTTTTTTAAAAAAAAAAACTATATAAAACTTAATTTTATTAATAAATATATATATACACTTATCTATATTCTGTTTTTTTTTTTTTTTACTAAATTTTTAAATTTATAAATAAAATAAACAAATGTTTTCAATAAAAAAAAAAATTAAAATAATAAGATAGTTATTTAATTTAAAAAATTCAAAAAACATTTAAAAAAAATTAATATTTATATATTTATTATATAAAAAAATATATATATTCAAATTAAAATGAATGTAAATGATAAAAACGCATATTTAAACGAAAGTTTTTGGGAATCATTAGAAAGAAAATTAAAAAAACGAATTCATTTAGTTGTCTTTGACTTACTTTAAAATCAAGTAAAAAAAAAAAAAAACAGATAATTTATTTTTAAAAATAATAATTTTAATAAAAGTCATGTAGTTCATTATTATATTACGTTTTAATATTAATAGAAACATTATAATTATTATATTATAGTGTACATCCATTAGCAAATTAATATTTATGGAATACATCATTTTTATCAACTATATAAATAATGTTATAATATTTCCAATTTAACTACTTGCTTTTTAAATCTCAAAAAAATATTGGATTAACGTTATTATACATATCATGTTCAATAAGCATAGTTTGTTTTATTTTATTTATAGTCGCAATGTAAAAGCTTAACAATTAATAGAATAAATCATAAATACTAATTACATATATGGTTAAGATTTTATCTATATTCGGTTTACTTATAAATACAATAATAGCTTTACCTATGTTTAACGCATTTATAGTATTCATAATTTGTAAAAGTGATTTAGATATACATAAGGAAGACGGATGCTATTCCGGAATATTTTTCGTTCATTTTGCATTTTCTATAATTTCTTTAATTTATTATATTGCTTTAAGCCTTATTTTTATTTTACTTTTTATTGATTTAAATCCTTCTTCTTAATTGCCTTTTGCTTCACCTTAAACATAAATGCCAATAATAAAATTTTGTATTTTTTTAAAAAATAAAATATTATTTATTAATAATAATGAATATATTTTGTAGGTATTAAAATAATTCTACCTTTATATGCTACTATTGATAGTAGTGGATAATTTGTTAAATAGTTTATAATTATATTATGCATAATTTATCTATTGTTAGTTTTCTCAAGATACAGAACACTACCTTACTACAACAAAGTATATATTTATAATTTTTTTTTTTTTTTTTTTTTATTTTTTTTTTTTTAAGAATGTTTAAAGGCTTGTAGTTTATTGTGAATGTCTATTATTTTGGGTTACATTTTGTTCTACTTTAATTATATATACAGATGCTGGTACAACAAATAACATAGGCTTAATATTTATGATTATATGTAAATATAGAATATTTATATATAGAAAATTATGCAAGTATATAATTTCCGATAATAAAAAAAAAAAAGGTTTCCCTTTTATTGCAATGTTTAATTATTAAATTCTTTATAATAGAAACTATCTTCTTCTTAAAAAAAATGTAAGTGACTTTAAAAAAGATATAGACGCGGAAATGTATATAGTAATAATTATTGATTTAATATAACATATTGAAATTACAGAATAAAGAATTTTATTAGAAGGAATTCTAAAAGTACATAACAGATAATGTTAAAAAGAAATATGCTATTGTAGATTATTGTTAAATGACGATACTAAAAATGACGAATCAGTTTTATTAATAAAAAAATGGTATGGATTTATTAAATTCATTATTGAGGATTCACTTTAGATATTTCATAAAAGTACACGTTTACATCTATTACATTCTTATATTTAACATGAAAAACTAAAAAATAGATTCAAAGCATTATATGAGCTAATGATTTGCAATGAACTAAAACCTAATATGTAGGAAGAATTTGCTTTATATAGGTTATTATTTATATTATATTAAATTATATTAAATTATATTATATTATATTATATTATATATATATATATATATATATTATTATTCATATATACTTATAATATTATTATATATAAATAATTATTTATTATAATAATATAGATTTAATATATAAATTGAAAATGAAATGAAAGATTATGATGAAAGAATAGGAGATAATATTAATGTTGATGTTAATAAAGTTGTTATGTTTTAAAAAAAAGTAATATAATAAATATTATAATTATATATTTTAATAATTAAATTTTATACTTATAAGTTTTTTGAATTTTAAGCTTATATTAATGAAAGTGTTTAATTACATCTAGATTTCTGGAGATAATTATTAGAAGAAAATCCTGAAATTTAAAAAATAGAACAAATGGGATCGACAATTACTACAACTGTTGATAATGTATAAAAAAATAAATATAAATTTTAAAGATTAAATTTTTAATATTAAAATATAATATATTAAATATTAATCATAATTTTAAATTTTTTTTTAAAAAAAAATGGAAAATATAATTTCATAATTATTAGTATAAAAAATTTTAAAAGATAAAAAAATATCATAATTAGTTTTAAAATAAATTTTTTTATGAAATTATTAATTAAAAAAAATAATAATAAAAAAGATATATAAAAAATAAAATATAATATAATAATATATATATATAAATATATAGAAAAAAAAATAATTATATATATAAATATAATTATAATATATATATATATATAATAATTTATAAATATATAAATATATATTTTAATATTTTATATATATAAATTTAATTAATAAAAATAATTAATTATATTAATAAATAAATATATTAACACAATTATCATATTTATCTATATTTATATTAATTTTTTTTTATTTATACATTTATTTTATATATATTGAACATATCTTTTTTTATTATATTTAAAGTTATAATCTTTATACCTTGAATTAAAATTAATTTACCCAAATCATATAAAAAGTTAAGAAATTTATGGTAATTTTCTTAAAGATATAGTAAATGATACTATTGAGGCCGAAAAAATATTAGATTCAGTAAAATATACTAGAAATTCTTATAGTATGACCAGAACATTTTAAGATGCTGATAAATTAAAATATGGAGAAAATTCTAATGCTGCTATTATTACAGTTTCAGGAAATTATAATCAAATGGGAATAGTTTAAAATGTAAACAATGAATTAACTAGGTTTTAAATAATTTATCTGTTTTTTTTTTAATCTATATTATAATATCAAAATTAATAAATATATAGAATTTTAGGTTGGTCAAAACAAGATATATTAAAATAAAATATATCAAAAATAATGCCTAAAGTATATTCAGAATTACATGATGCATTTTTAAGCAGATTTTTAGAAACCTCAGAATCAAAATTATTAGGTATGGAAAGGATAGTATTAGCAATGAAAAAAGTAATAAAAATAATTATTTTTATTTTATAAATAATATATAATAGAATAAATTCTTAGTACCATGTACTATAATGATAAAAATACTTCCCAATTTAGATGAAGGTATAACAATAGTAGGTTTTTTGAAAGATATATAATCAAATAATAATATGATTAAAAATACAATGAATTAAACTGCTAATGAAAATTATCATTACTTAATTTATAGAACTGATAATCATGTACTTTAGGGTATTACTTAATCTTGTTATTAGTCTTTAGGTATACCTGCATCTCTTATGTATGGAAATAGCTAAAATAATATAGAATTTACTATAGGTATATAAAATATAAAATATTATTATTTTTTTTTATTTTATTTTTATTATTATTATTATTTTTTAAATAAAACAATTTTTAATTTTATAATATTTTTATAGATATAATATGCCCTGAACTAATAAATAATGAAATAATTTAAGACCTTAAAAATCCATCAGGCGCAGTCGTAACTTTTGATACAACATTTGTTCAATAAAATTATTTATTAGATGAGGAAGATTCTGAAGATGAAAATTTAGAAGATAATTATATAAGTCATGCATCTAAAGATGAAAATATTGAACAAACAGGGACAAAAACAAAAAATCAAAATTTAAAAAAACTAAAGTAAGAATGAACTTAATTGAGCACTAAGAATTTGATGATAAAAAAGTAATAATAAATATATTGTATATTAATAAATTAATATAAAAATATATTTATTTTTAATATGTATATATATATAGTTAAACGTTGTTAAATTTATTGAATTAGATGACAGTGATATTCATATTATGAATAGTGGTGAAAATTAAGGTATATAGACATCTAATATATAAAATGATCATAATTAATAATCTAATTTTTCTTAATAATAAGTAATATAATAAAGTGTCTCTCATGAATAAAATGTCAAATAAAATGAACCTGAAATAATAACGGAAAGAGAGTCTAATGTTTCAAATGAGGAAGCTTAAAATGAAGCACGATAAATAAAAGAATTTAAGCAACTAATTTCTGAAAAATCAGTATAAAAATAATATATATATATATAATATATATATATATATATATATATATATATATATATACATATATATATTTTTTTAATAATTTTATAAGGTGCCTAAAAGAATAAAAATATTATAAGCTACTTTCATTACTCTTTTATTAGTTTTATTATCTATTACAGGAACTGAATTGAGTTATAAAAAATCTTAAACAACTATAGTTAAATAAGGCACCGATTAAATATATTATAGTTATATGAGATAAAATATTATGGCAGATGTAAATTATTAAACTAGAAAAATTTGGGCTATAGCAAAGTAAAATAAAAATAAAAAATTATTTCATATATATATTAATTTCATTTATTTAGTGAACTAGTATAACTTCCTAATAAAAAAACAGATATTTAATTAGTTAATTAATATTTCAAGGATAATTAAGATTTAGTAAAAAAAAATAAAAAAATATTAAAATAAAAATAAATAAGCTTGCTATGCATGATAATAGACTTTAAGAAATTCAGTTTGAAATTATAAAAAGAAAAGTTAATTTAGATTAAAATATATATAATACTCTTGAAAAATAAATTTATAATATAAAATTTGAACTCTAAAATGGTTAATCGAAAGAATATGAAAATACATTCACAGATGCTATGATATAATATATAACAGCCGCTTCAGCATTAACAAACACGACCATTTAATAACTAAAATAATCATAAACATAATAATAAAAGTATAATATATACAAATATACAAATATACAAATATACAAATATACAAATATGCAAATATATAAATATATATATAAATATTCTCTATAATATTAAAATATAAATATCATCATTATATATTATTTTTATTTTTATTTTTTAATAAATTATTAAATAAATAGAGCAAAGTTTATTGATTCTACATAAAAAAATTTCTATTATATTGTGTAAAATGGGCTTTCAATACTTAGGTAGGGTTCAGAAAAATTATCAATTGAAATTTATTACTATTATTATAATAAAATTATTGGATTAGAGACCATATTTATAGTTTTAATGGCTTTGGGCATATCGTTTGTAATATTATCACAATTCGTTTTAATTCCTATAATATTTTAAATACAAAGTGCTAATATAAAAGTTCTTTCTTTATTTGGGATGATTCATATTTCAGAAATAAAAGAATTAGCTAGTAAATGTGAAGTTTTTACGGGCATTTTTTTAGAAGAATAAAATCTTGCTTAATCTAAATAAAAAATTAATAACGTATAAAATTAAAATACTTATAAAACTGTAATAGTAAAAAATGAAGTGGAAATAAATAACGAAAAATAAGATGAAGAAAATCATGATGTAATTTTTAAAGAAAAAAACCTTACAATTCCTAATAAAAATGATATAAAAAATAATATAAATAATTCGACATTAAATAATTAAAGTCAATTAAATTAATCAACTATACCTCATTAAAGATTGAATTCATCTATGTAAAATGTTAATAATACAAATGGGGAAGAAAAAGTTGATATATTATTATAAAATTATAAAAATTTATATATAAATATATATATATATATATATATATATATATATATATATATTAGAAAAAAGAAGTTAATAAAAATAATGAAGAAGAAGAATACGATAATTTAAGTAATATAAAAATTATGTAATTAAAAGATGATAATAAAAAACAGTTATTTTTTAATTTTTAATTCTTATGTTTATTTTTATAGCTTATTTCGTAGCTATTTATATAATTGAATTAAGTTTTTAAATAATATTAAATTAATATATTATAATTTAAAAATAAATAGTTAAAGAAATAGCATTTTAAAGTATTTTTTATATTTTTAATATATTGAACTTTATTTAAATTATTTTTATTTAAATAGATATAATTTATTATATAGATATGAATAAATCCTTACAAATAATGAATGGAAAGAAGAAAATATTAAATTAATAGATTATTTTACTACTTTAATATATACAAATGAAAAAGAAATTTTCGAAAGTTATATGTAATAATATCCTGCATCATTTGATAGTTATAATACAATGTTTAAAACAGGAAATTTTGATAACTTTTGTAAAATTTTTAAAGATAATACAATAGAAAAATTAAATGGAAGTGATTGTGAATTATTAGACGATAAGATTTTTAATAAAGGATTAAAATTAGCTATTGTTTCATATACAGAAGGTAAAAAAATATTTAAATATATATATAAATACATATATATGTATATATATATATGTATATATATATTTATATATATATATTTATATATCTATTTATATATTTCAATATTTTATATAGATTAGAGAAAGTTTTTTAGCAATTATTAATTAAAAAAATAATAAAATGTAACCATTAAAGATATTATTAATGATAAAAATGATTGGAATACACTAGAGTTTTTACAGAGATATATGGTCAATTTTATAGAATAATTAAATATTGTACTTATGGATGCTATAATTTCATATTTAAATGAATAAGATTAAGTTGATTAGATAAAATTTAGTGTTTTTGTAGTTTCGTTATTTATTATATTTATTTTATTATGGATGCCTTATTTGATTTCTTTAAGAAAAAAAATATGGAGTACTAAAGGAATGCTTAATATGATTCCTATTGATATTATTTTTAAAGATTAAAATATTAAATAATGCTTTATTTCAGGCGACATTTTATAAGCTGTTAAATGATAAATATACTTAATTTAATTGATAAATATAAATAAAAAAGTTCTAATTTTATAAAATCTATTTACAGATTATTTATATGTAAAATATAGTATAAACATTTTTTTACTTATTATATTACATAATTAGATTATATATTTTATTTTTTAATTAATTATTTTAATTTATTTTTACTTTATTATAATTTTTTTTTTTAATAAATTAAATATATATATTTTTTTATTATTTTCAATTATAAATATTAAATGATATTTAATTTTTTTATCAATTTATTTAATTAACCTATTTAAAATTAATTAAATAATTCCAATAATAATTTAAAGACTAAAAAATTATTTATAAACTTATTTTTCTTAAAGAAATAAATAAATAAAGAATAATTATATTAATTTAAATAAAAAAATTTACAAACTAATATTTAGTATTAATAAAATAAATTAATTAAGCAAATACTCTAATTATATAAATTAAATTTAAATTTATTTAATTAGAAATAATTTTTTTAAATATAAATATAATTTCAATTATTTATTATTATATTAGTTTTCCGATTTAAAAAGTAAAAAATTTATTTACTAATAATTATTCTGTTTTTAATTATTTTATTATTATATCTTTTTTACTAAATTTAATATCTATTCCATTATAATTATTAAATATTTTAAAAGTAAAAATTTATATAAAAAACAAAAAAAATTATAATAATTTTTTTTTATTTTTTTAAAAAAAAGAAAAAATAAATACGTAATAAAAGACTTCAATTCAATTAATACAAATAAAATTAAATAAAAATTAAACTATAATATATATTTTTTTAAAAACCCTACTCTCATAAAAATAATAATAATAATAATCATCCCTAAAATCAAACACAAAAAGATAATTTTTTTTTTAAAAAAAAAAAAAATTCATAAAAATTATATAAATGGGAAATAATAATAATATAAAAACTGAAAAAACATATTTATTCGGCCAAAATTCTAAAAATTATCCTGAAATCCTCACTTTTGATGGCTAAAACCTATCTAAAATTTCCCTTTTTTCATCCCAAATAACATTATATAACCATATGTCCTCTATATAATTAGAAAACGAATAAAAAATATACATAACAGGTGGTATAAATCCATAAACAAATAAAATATCAAATTAGTTTTTAGAATATAATATTGAATAAAACACATTCATATAAATGCCTAACTTTAATACTCAAAGATATAGCCATTAGTCTATTTTTTTTAAATAATAGTTATTTATTTTAGGAGGAATTACAGAAAATAATCTTATTTTAAATTCTTGTGAAGTTTTTAATTTCTAAACTCATACTTGGTATTTTATATCTGATTTAGAAATTCCTAGATGTACTTTTTTCTCCTTTATATATGGAGAATATATATATGTTTGTGGTGGTTATAATGGAAATAAAACAAGAACCGAAAAAATTGAATTTTATGATTTCTAAAGAAATGTTTGGTAAATTTCAGATTTTAAACTCAATAGAGGCCTCGAATGTGGTAATTTGATTGTTTTTCCAAAAAATAACGACTAATTTTACATTTTTGGAGGAAACACAAAATATGGACCTTCCAATGAAATATTTAAATACGATTTAAGTACCAAAAGTATCGAATTAATTGGAAAAATGTAAAAAAGTAGAGTTTTATAGAAATATTTTAAAACTAAAAATAACGTTATATATATTTTTGGTGGGGATAAAAATAACGAAAATGGGAAATTTACAATAGAAAAATCTGAAATCTTAACTAATAATAAGATTTCATTTAAAATATTATCAAATATTACACTAGAAAGTTCATATTAAGAATACACTTAATCTCAAAAAACTTTAATAATTTAAAAAATTTAATAATAATAAAATTTTAATATTATTTAAATAAAAGAATAATAAAAAGATGATTTTTTCGAAAAAAATATATATTTTTTCACTCCTTTTTAAATTTATGAATTAAGCTTTTCACAAAAAAAAATATAAACTAAGTTTTTTCCTTTAAATTTTCAATTTTTTCAATATTCAAATGGACAAAAAATTCCAGAAAAAAACTGCATTTTTATCTGCGGAGGCTTAAAAAGTGAAATAGTCCCATATTCTTATTTTTATTTTCCATAAAAAGATTAAATTGAAATACTCGAAAATATGAATTAATCACGATATGCGTTTTCATGTTTAAAAATAGGAAACTATATATACGTTATAGGAGGTCGAATATATGGAAAAGACGAAGAAGCAATTCTCTAAGACTGCGAAAAGTTCAATATTAAGGAAAAAAAATGGGAAAAAATGGCATCTTTAAACTATAAAAGGTGTTCTTCGAGTGCTTTTGAGGTTCAAAGTAGATTATATGTAACCGGAGGATACTCAGGGGATTAGAAAAGAGAGTGCAAGTTCGAATTTTATAATGAATAAGCTGATTTTTGGGAACTTATGGCTGTTTAATTAAATCAAGGTATTGAAGGAGCATTTTGCATGTTTTTTAAAAAAATGAGAACTATAAAAAATTGTTTATTTTTGGAGGAAGAAGTTAAAAAAATGGAGATTCTGATTAAATTTTTTTATATGATATTCAATATGGATTTGATAGCTTTAAAAATAAAATTTGTGGAAAAATGGAATCAAAAAGAAGTAATTAAAAAGTTTTTTGTATAAATATTGAAGGAGATAATTTTTACGATGTTTTAATATTAGGAGGAGTAAGTAGTCAGAATTTATATGAGGTTTTAAGAATAGATGTAATAAAGGAAAAAGTTTAAGAAAAATAAAAGATTTTAGGTATATTTGGAGAATATCTAGAAAATTTTTTATAGATTTAAAAAGAATAAATAAAAAAAATATTAATAATTTGATGTTAATATTAAAAGTATAATATTAAAATTATATATAATATATTAATAAATATATTAATAATAAATTTTAAAAATATATATTTATAAATATTAAATATATAATACTAATTTTTATATATTAATATATATTTATTTTATATATTATTATAAATTTTACTTATAATTTTATTTATTATATATTTTATAATATAATAATTAAAAAATAAAATTTTAAATATGAATATTAATAAATTTTTATATTTATTTTTTTATTCTTTATATATTTATTATTATTTAAACATTTTATTTATTAATAAAAATAAAAATATATATTATTTTAAATTTAAATATAAATGTAAATATATTTATTATTACTAATTTTATATTTTTTTATATTAATATATATTTATTTTATATAATTATTATAAATTTTACTTATAATTTTATTTATTATATTTTTATATTTTTTTTTTTTTTTTAATTTTATTTTATATATTATCTTTTTTTTTTTATTATTTTATTTTTCAAAAATTAATTTATTATATTCATTTTTTTTTTTATATATAGCTAATTTAAATATATCAATAATTGTAATTTTTTTATAAAAAAATGAATAATAATTAGGATATAAAAAATTGTAAAAGAGGTGGATGTTAATAAAAATACACAAATACTGATAACCATCCTTAATCATGTCATTTTCATCCTGGAAAGCCGATTTTTCACGACACAAAAAAGGGATGGACTTGTTGTAATCAAATAGTATACGATTGGGATGAATTTCAAAAAATAAAGCCTTGCGCAGAAGGCATGCATTGTGATTAAGATCCCAATTAATCTTTATCGGGTTAGGACTAATTTTATAAATCAAATACTGTTGCCAATGCTTAAAAATCTTTGGATAAATAAGAGAATAAAATTGTCATTTAAAAAATATCTGATTTTAATAAACATGATGAAAATAAATAACAAGAAAAAAAAAACTAAGCCTAAAATGAAGTTAATAATAATTAAATTAAAGAAAAATAGTTATTCGTTACTATAAATGGAAACTTGAAATGTGTAAACAAAGGGTGCTAAAAAGAATATAAAGAAGAAGAAAATAATGAAAATGCTTGTATTTATCATTCCGGAAATCCCATTTTTCATGATTTGAAAAAATATTGGAGTTGTTGTTGTAAAGTAATATATTTAATAAATTATATATATATACATATATATTTTACTTTTTTTATATAGAAAATAGCTTATGATTGGGATGAATTTATGAAAATATAACCTTGTTGTAAAGGAAATCATAGTCCCAAATATCAATGATTTCTTATTATTTTTTTTATTTTTTTGTATTTGTTTATTAATATGTTTTTTAAAAAAATTAAAAATGTTTATATAATTAAAAATTTTTTAAAAATAAAATAAAATTTAAATTATTAAATATAAAAGTTTAATAAAAAAATAATTATAAATAAAATAAAAATCTCATTAATATTTTATAATATAGTTTATATTAATTAAAATTTAAATAATTGTTAAAAAAATAAAAGTAATCAATATTTAAAAAATTTAAATGATTAAACAATTTAATGTATTATTAAGAGGAATGTAAAGACAACAATTAATAACCGAATACTAAATGCTTTAAATTTAAAATCTAGCCCAAGACTAAAATCAATAATTAATTTAAATAATAAAAGACTTTGATGATTAAAAATAAACATTAACATAATTATAATCTTATATACTATAATTTATACAAGCTTAAAATATTATGCCTAAATAAAATGAATTAAATGAATAAAGAAGTTTTTTTTAAAAAAAACAAAAAAACAAAACAAAAAAAATAAAAATAAAAAAATACCCAAAAATTAATTTAAATATAAAATTAAAAAAATAGTTAGTTTCAATTAATTTTTAACATAAAAGCATATAATCTAAGAAGATAAATATGTAGAGAATAACCTTAGTTGTACGAAAAAGATGATATATACATATATACAATAAATTCTATTTTAACAAAATAAAAATTTGGATTAATTTTGCTTAGATGCAATAAACCCATTATTAAATTATAATTAAACAAAGTATCAAATACTAGAATAAAACTTACTAATATTAATATAAGAAAAGAAAAAAAAAATAACTGAAAAAATAAAATCTTCATTTAATTCAATATTAAAATCACAAATAACAATAAGTGATATTTTCCATATAGTAAAATATACAAAGGAAGTTTTATAAACTCTATTCTGTATTAGTGATTTTGAAGTGGCTTAATTACACGAATAAGAAATTAAAGTTTTTTCATCATAAAATTATACTGAATAAAATGGTGTAATTTTTTTTTATTTAAAGTAAATATTTTTTATATTTTTTAAAATAATATTAAATTTATATATAGGAATTAAAAAAAGAAAATGATTTTTTAGAAAAACTAAATAAATTCACATAGTGTTGTTTAATAAAATTAGATGAGAATAGCAAAAAAGATTTTAATGATATATTTTTATTCGAAAATACTAAATAGTATTTCATGTTTTATAATGCTTAAGATACTTTTACTACTATTATTATATTTCATGTAAATAACAAATAAATAAATGATTCGTTTTTCAAAATTCTAAATAATAATTTCGATAATTCATTCCAAGATATATTTAAAGAATAAGTAAGTTCACTCATTAGTCTTTTTGTAAAAGAAAAAAAAATGCTTGAATTAAATTTAATATAAAAAATGATAAAAATGCTAAAAGAATATGTAAAAAAATCAGAAATATTATTCATAGAGGATATAAGATAATGTTTTTAAATATATTTCGAAATAAATGCGTAAAAATTTTATAAATATTTAAAAATTATATAAATATATATAATATAATATATATATATATATTTATATATATATATATATATCTATATTTATATATTAATATATATTTATAGTTCAATTACATTTGGTTGGGAATAATTTGAAGTTTTTATTTAATATATATATTTTTATTTTATTTTTATTTAAATATAGTAATATTCTTTTAAAAATAATTTAAATGATTGTGAATATGAAATTAATATTCCTTTAGCAAAAATATGTTTAAAATGTAAATTAAATTTAAGTTATTTTGACAAATTTCTAGATTTATTAATTTTCGAAAAGGTAATGACTTCTGTATTTAGTGAATTACATTAAGAAATAAGGAATACTAATTATATTTTTTAACATTATATACTTTATTTAAGAAACAATTAAAAGGCTCTAATGGATTTTAACGAAAATGGATATTTGATATTCTTGTCTTAATATCTTAAAAATTAAGCCATATCTTAATTTAATTTTTAAATAATTAATGATTGTGATTTAGTTTACCCTTAATTTTATTTACATTATAAGGATATTTTTAAATATAATTAGCAAATGATTGATTCTATAGAATAACTTAACGATATAGATAATTTTACTTTTAAAATTTAAGAAATTGAATTACATAATAAATCCAATAATAAAAGGATTTTATATATTGTTTCCTATAGAAAAAAATTAATTAATACCCAATAATAATAATAAATATATAAATGTTGCTTCTTCTTCATGTTTAAAATAAAAAGTAATCAAAATGTAAAAAGCTTTTTTTAAAATTAATTTTATTACAAGGACATCTTAAACTTTTATGTCTAAAAATGTAAAAATAATTATAATAAAAATATACATATACATATAATTTTAAAATAATGATAATAGATGGTATTAAAAGATCCAGTAGTAAAAAATTCTTGGGTAAGAGAATTTCTACCAGATAAAGATTTATAGAAAATACAAGAAGAAGATGAAGAAAATATAAAAGATAATAATTTCAATTAAAGACTATTTAATTTATAGCCAAAGTAAAAAAATATAAAAACACATTAATAAAAAAATGATTATTTAAAATAAAAAAAAGTATTTTAACTCGAATAACTGATGAAATATAAAAAAGTCAATAAATAGAAAAGCCTTACCCATCCGAATTAATCGAAAAGCCTAAAGAAGATTAACAAATAGACAATTTTTGCTTTGATATATTTAAAATCGAAGCAAAGGAAAAAGTTAGAATAATCTGGTCAATATTTAATAAAAGGAAATATTTCTAAACCTACGACATTCCAATTTTATAATTTTGTGAATTCCTCCATAGACTACGCCACTAATATAATAAAAGGGGAAATACGTTCCATAATTTCGACCATGGAATCAATGTAATGCACGGTTGCTATATGATTACATGTAAAACAATTGCGCATAAGTTAATATAAGATCAAAGAGAATTTGCTTTAATATTTTCTGGTTTATGCCATGATGTAGCACATACTGCCCGTACGAATATGTTCGAAATAAACTCCATGTCTAAACTGGCTATTAGATATCACGATAAATCTGTTTTAGAATAACACCATATCGCCACTACTTTTAAAATATTAAGCAAAAAAGATTGTAATATATTTGTAAATATGACTTTTGAGAAAATATAGGAAATAAGAAAGTATATAATAAACAATATTCTAGCAACTGATATAAGATAACACTTTGATATTATTAAAGAGTTCGAAGTTCTGTTTGGAAATAAAAACTTAAAGTAGAATGACGATAAACCATTCTAAGAAGCTGATATTAATATGATTACAGGAATTATTATACATGCTGCAGATTTTCATGGAAATCCACAGCCATTTGAAATAAGCAAAAAATGGAGTTTACTCGTTAATTAAGAGTTTTAAGCCTAGTTCAAAGAAGAAGGTGAAAAAAATATATCATAAACACCTTATTTGAAGGATTTGGATAAAAGAGATATTCTAGCAAAAAGTGAAATAGGTTTTATAAATGCAATAGTTAAACCTTTGTGGGAATTACTAAATAAATTTCTTGGAAATGATCTAGAATTTAGTATAAAAAATTTATATGCTAATATTTAGGAATGGGAATAAATTAGTAAAGAAACTATTAAAAATGATAAATGAATATAAATATAAATATATTTTATGTTTTTATATATATATGCTAAAGAAAAATGTATTAAAAATTAAAATTTAAGATATTATAAATAAATATATAAACATATATTATAAATATATATTATATTATTTATATATATATATATATAAAAAAATATGAAAATATATTAAAATAATTATGTATATAAAAACGTAATATAAAAATAATTATATGATATAATAAATATAAATATAATATAATGTATTTAAAAATATTTATATATATTTAAATAATATAATAAATATAAATTTAATATAATGTATTTAAATAATATTTATATATATTTAAATAAATATTAAATTATATTTATATTAATATATTTTATATTAATATATATATTAGTATATATAATATATATTGTATTATTAGAAATATTTATTCTTTGGTTTTTTATAATAATTATAAAATGAAAAAATAATATTAATAAATTATTTTTTAAATAAAAAAAAAATAGATATATAATAATAAATATATATATATATATATATTATATTATATTTATATTTATATTTATATTTATATTTATTTCTAATTTTAATATTAGACTAATATAAATATAAAAATTAAAACAATTTTTTTATTTTATTTATTTCGATTTTACAAAATAATCTTTGTTTAATATTTTTATATATATTAAATATTTTTTTATTGCAAAATATATAAATAATATAATATTTAATAAAATTTATATATGATTTTTTAATTATATTTATTTATTTATATTTTTCATGAATTTTTAAAATATTTAATAATAAAATAAATTTTAAATATTGTAAATATTATAATATAATTTTTATATTATTTTATATTTATTTATAATAAATTTCTATATAAAATTAATATTTTTTTAATATATTTATTATATTTTATTGTTTATAAAATTTTTAAATTATAAATACTTTTATATTAAAAAACTAATCAAATTTTTAAATAAAATATGAAAATTTAAAAATGTCAAAATTAAAATTAATATTTTTTTATATATTTAATCATAATATTTAATTTATTTTATTCTTTAAATGAAAAAAAAATTTATTATTACTGTAAGTAACAATATGTGAAATATGCGCGAAAAACTTATAAGTCAAATCATAAAAAAAAATATATTATATATTATTTT